CGGTGCCACCTGTGCCCACGAACGCCCAGGTGCTCCCATCCCCCGCCCACGGGGTCTCAGCCTCTCCAGGTCCCAGGCCCCGAGGGCTCCCCGCTGTCCCCCAGCCCTGCTGCTCCTCCCTCAGCCCCATGCTCGGGGCACGGGGGTCCCCTCCCCACCTCACAGCCCATGTCCAGGGGTCAGCACAGCAGCTCACTCCCCCTGCAGATCCACCTGGACTCTGCCTGCTCTCCCTCGCCTCCACCCCTGCACCTGCTCCCCACAACCCTGACCTCTGCCTCGGGGTGTCCCCCGGGCCTGCCGGGTCTCCCTCCTCTCCCTCAGCCCCCACCTTCCTTCTCAATTCGGCAGCCAGAGTGACCCTTTCCGATACAACTCAGACCAGCCGAGGGTCACTTCACCCCAAACCGGCCAACGCTGCCCTTCCTGCCCAGGGTAGAGCCGGGCCCTTCCGGCGGCCGGGGCACTGCCAATCTGGCCTGGCTCTCTGGGCCGCTGCCTCCCACTCCCTGCGGGCCACATGCCTCCTGGTCTCCCTCAGCCGTGTGGCCGTGTTCCTGCCTCAGTGTCCCCACACCCACACTCCGCCTGACACTCCTGGGCCCTGTGTGGCTGGACACCTCGCTTCCTTCGGGCCGCGGCTGCGATGTTATTTAGGGTGCCGTCCACCCCGGCCCCCTCCCCTAGCACCCCGCCTTCCCGCCCATCTGCTCCAACGGGCTCTGCTTCCCGTGCGCGTGGTCTGACCTCCCCACAGGCCACTAGGCTTTGCTCTGTCTCCGGCACCCAAACAGGGCAGGGGCGCCCCACAGGCTCCCCCCAAATGAAGGGTGTGAGCAGCGGAGCTAGGCAGCCAGCGGGGTGCAGCGGCTCCTCTGGCCACCAGAGGGCGCCAGCGCCCAGCAGATGAGCACGTGACGGCACCTGCCCGCCCGCCGTCTGCGATGACAGCTGCGGTTTCATGAAGAAGCGAACTCTGATGATGTCGGTAAGAACGTTTGTCTTCACTCGACCGCTCATTTCACAGATGAGAAAACCGAGGCTCAGAGAGTTGTGTGTCTATAGAAACCAGTGGGATCTCTTCCCAGCTGCATCCCCAGGCTCTTCTGGGTCAGGATCCAGGCCAGGCAGGACTATGGGGTCCTGGCCAGTGAGCCCCCGTGGACCTGTCAGCAGCCCACACCTCTCTGACCAGTCTCTACCGGTGAGCCCAGCCAGCGGGGAGGACCCCACCCCCCACAGGACAGGTCCCCGCGCTGGCCCGGGAGGAAGCCGGGGGCCGGGGCCCGCGAGGCGGCACCTTGTGTCCCAGCCAGGTGCCGTGGTGCCCCTCCACGGGCAGGCGCTCGGCGTCACCCGTCAGGTCCGTCAGGGCGTCCTGGGGAGAGGGGACAGGCGAGGGCGGGCTGAGGACAGGAAGAGGGAAGCGGCATCCCTCAGGGGCTGTGAGGGGTCCCTCTGGTGGGCAGGGAGCCGCGGGCAGCCTACCTTGGGGGATAGGGTTCCCCGAATACTGATCACCACCTTCTTCTTGTCGTGGTCCACCGCCACGTAGAAGGGGGTTTCGTACACCTGGTAAGAGGGCGGCTCGTGAGCCTGTGCAGCCCTGGGCGGGGGCCAGATGCAGCGGGCGCCCTTAGCTCACGCCTTCCCGGCCAGGGAGTCTGTCTCCTCCAGCCACCGGCCCTCCAGCCCCCCGCCCAGCCATCTTGGTAGATCCCTCCCGGCCCAGGTCACAGCCCAGCTGCCTCCCAGCTCCCGACTCAGGCCGCCAGGTGCTGCCCCCCGCCGGCTGCGTCCAGGGAGGTGGCTGCCCTCCCCGGGGCCTCGCGGCTTCCTCCCGGATTTCTTCTCCCAAAGGCTGAGGCTGGGGAGCCCCAACCCTGGGTGTGGGGTGGGGGTCCACTTCCTAGCCCCAGCGGGGGTGTGGGGCGAAGGCCCACCTCTGTGCCGCCCAGCTAGGGGAGGCCTGCTGCCCGGG